TAGTATTGTGATAGCTGAGTATCATAGAAATAATATCAGTTGATATTTGTATTTGTTATATCAACTTTAAAAACATGTAAAAAAATGGTTTTAAAAAAAGTTTTTTTTTTTTTTTTCTCCCTCTCTATTTAGGCTGCGATGCTGAAACTTAGACCACTTGCAGCCCTCTTCACGTGTACACGTCAATAAATTTTCATTGCACTAGAACAACTTTTATGAACCCTAACTATCGCCCCCCTAAACCGATATGGGCATACAGTACTTTGATTTCAAACCCCTCCTCGACTCTTGTGTGGGGTCGACAGGTGTATGTAATCTTTTTTAATGGACACGTAAAAATTTGATTTTTATATATTATATTGTGCATATATATATATATATATATTGGCTTACGTTAGCGTAGGTAAATCATTTACCGTGTTGTGGTTTCATCAAAATTCGTCACACAATGAATGAAAGACAAGGGGTTTGGCGGGTGCATGGCATGGACTTTTGGAGTGGAATACAGTCAGTCGTCCAAAGACCCCAAACACGCACTTTTTTTTATAGCCCCATTCCGAAGTTGGAGAACGGGCGTTTGAGAAACATTCGAACAATACTTTACATCCCAAACTAAACTAACATCCAAGCTAACTTAAAATAGTGTTAAAAAAATAGTTTAAAACGATTCATAGAGTACAGCTATTTTTACGTAAAATTGAACTTTCATCTTAGCATTTGTCCTAGCAGCTTTGTTGTGTAACCTTTAATGGCACCATTGTAATGGCGCTAACCTACCTAGCTCTGCCGGCTCCTCGTGACAATCTAAACGTACACATTAACACTGGCTCACCTTCAGGCTGTAGTGTGGGGGACGAAGACATTGTACAAGTCCTGGGACAGGTTCTATGTCGATCCGTGTTCACGACTACAACTGATGAAACGTTATGCGGCCGTTGAGTGCAGGCGAGGCCTGCTCAACGAGCATCACTCGGGTATTACCTGGAACATGGGAAACGTTAACGGCTACGGCAAATATCAGTCATGCCTATACCAACAAGTTACTTGGACTTCCAATATTCATTACAGCCCTTCATAATTTGCTAATTAATGAAGTGTAAAGCATTCCAAGTTGCACCTTTAATTATATTGACTACCTGTTCCTACAGTAACCCTTTGAGGGGCTATTAGTCAATTAAGCACTAGCCACACTATACCCTTCTTAAACCGGACGAGTAAATATTAATCCCCTTTCACTTTCAAATTACACGCTAAACTAGTGAAGTCGTATGGCTTAAATCATGCCAGGCGTCAGACGTGTGAATTTACAGAATACATGTAAAACTAAACATTATTAATGCTTAACTTTTAGTTAAGTATCACTTCACGTATGGAAGGTAATAACCATCCTCGCTTTGTAACGCGATGTTAAATGTATACTAAACCACACCCACCTGCACCATGATCATTCCACTGTTACATTAGTCATCTTTTTACGATGAAAGTACTCTTCCACTCCTGGTCGGCACGTCCACACGGCTAACAAGGGTTTCACCGATGATTCCACTGTTTCCATCATAAGTCACGTCTGCTGGAGTTGCTAGTCGTAAGGCACGTCATTTCATGTTCCCCAATACCTACGACCTGACGCTTGTGGCGGCAGCAGCAGTCAACAATCCTGAAATATTGGTTATTAATGACTAGTTGATCAATCATAAAAAGCTATTTTAGTACTGATTATTAGTAGACTAAAATAGTCTGCGTATATACCCTCAAGAACACCTAGGGTATACAAATTAAAAATATATAATTTAATTTTGCCACCTAGATATCTAGTTATGAGGGTGTATAAATGGACTGAGTGTACCCTAGGGTCTGTTGGGCCCCAGCGACCCATTAACATCAACTGGGTTCCAGCACGGGGCGCATCAGACCCCTAACACTACCACACCTATACGACCCTTTCACAGGACTTCTAGGGGCAAAATAACGCTCCGCTCCTCCTCAACGAGCAGGTAGACTCAACAGCCAATCACGTTTCCCCTATTCAATTGACGTCACATTCTCGCTAGCTGTACTCTCATTGGTCGGCTCGACCTAACTGGATACCCTACTAATTCATGACAAATATTTATTGAAACCAAAATATATACACGGAAAGATATTATTCCCAGATTCTCGGTGTATACACACTTAGTTTACTTGCGTCAAGGACAATGTTTAATGGTAAAGGTATCCCTGGTGCTCGGTAAACGAGTGTAGTGACGTAAATAACCATCGACAGAGTGGTAGATTAAGGGCAACGACAATTTCTTCACTATATTACGGTGCCCGGCCTTATATATAAAAGGCAAATGTTTATTAATGTAGCCGGCAAACGCACATTTTTATAATTCAAAACCTTTTACATACAACTCAATCCGTCCTATTCCAAGTTCATTCCATCCAGCACTCCACCCCCAAACACTCATTCATCACTTTTAAAATTAACATGCCGTTCATTCAAATTAGTAGTTGTGAAATATCAACAATAATGTTATATATTAGGCTACTGTGCATATTTAGCCATTGCTTAGATGTTTAGGTTCGGTTGGCGATTAGTGGGTGAAGCATTTATAGTATTGGGGGTTCGAACAAAAGTCGTCAGCGAAACACTTGTTCCTGAAGTGTTCGGATGTCATTATTTGTGAGTCGCGTGTAAAGCGTTTTTCATTCATAAGCACGCGGGTGCATGCAATGGACTTTGTTTATAGGACAGACTTCAAGTGCATGATGACTTCTGAACACTTCGGGAACAAGTGCTTCGCTCACGACTTTTGTTCGAACCCCAAAACTATAAATGCTTCACCCACGTATTTTCTTTATTATTATTATTTTTTACATGCAAGCATGCGAATAAATAAAATAAAAGCAAACAGAACAAAACAGAGCACAAAATTACAAAATGACAAAGCACAAACTCGCAAAAGTACAAAATAACAAAATTACAAAATAACAAAATAACAACATTACAAGAGTACTAAACCACAAAACACCGGCCGGAAAGAGCCGACCACAAAACACAATAATACAAACACAGAGGAATACAATACAGAAACAACAACAATACAACACAAGGCACCCGCACCCAACAACCCAAACCCCAGAACATAATTATACAGATCAAGGCTACTGGCACCGTAACCACACACGGAGAGGCATCAATACAAAATGATAATAATATACAACAATAAATGAAATATAAATATACAAGAGAAACAAAAGGGAAGCACAATCGCAATACATAATACATAATAATGAGCACAAACCCATGCCGGGTCACACTAACAGTCTGAATGGTACTCAACACTACCCAAACAAACGCACAATCAGTACCATAAAAAACACAAAAACAAAATCAGAACAACATAATAGCATAAGAACAGGACACCCACAACCAGACACACACACCTTAACAAGAGTGCACAAAAACCGGACACACACACAAGCCATACAAACAAACCCACAACCACCAACTGGAGCACGCAGGAACCAGGAAAACAAACCCACCCCACCCAAACACACGCGAGGAGGAGTAGAAAGAGGGGAGCGCACCTCAGCAAGGGCAACAACCGAGAGGGAAGTGGGGTCCAAAGAAACCTCCATAGCAGGAACAGGGGGAGCAACCACCGAAATGGGAGGGGAAGGAGCGATAGAGTCAGAAGTAGGGGCCGAGGAAGAAAGCGAAGCTTTCTTACCCGCCGGGGAGGAGGAAGTAGAGGAGCCAGGCTTACGCTTCTGACTTAAAGAGACAGGTGTCCCAGCGTACTGGGCAATGGATTCCAGCGTCTCAACAGGAGAAGCTGAACGAGAGCATACACGACGGCCGTTAGGAGAGCGATGGACATCAGCCCACACTGACAGGCGGTGAGGAGAGTCAATAGACGGAGGTGAAGGATGGGAAGGAGGATCGGAGGGAGACGAGGAAGAAGACACAGGAGACATGACAGACCGGGTAGAAAGAAGGGGAACCCCAGACAGAGAACCAGGAGGGGGACCCTTCGGGACAGAACTCAAAGGAACAGAGGAGGAGGCGGTGGGCGTATCAGGGTCCAAGGCCCGGATACGGTTGTGAGTCTGAGGAAGGTGGGAAGGACGAGGAGAGGAAGAGCGCAACACGTGAGCATAAGAGATATTAGCATAAGGCGGGAGCCGGCGAACCTGGCGCCTCGCCTCAGGAAAATATAAACGCTCCCGGTGCTTCAAGTTGAGGACGGCTGCCTCAAGCTTGTAATGGATACACGCACGGGAGAAGGTAGGGTGGGCCTCACCGCAGTTGAGGCAACGAGCCTGAGAAGAAGTGCACTCCGACTTAGAGTGACCTTCGCCCCCACACAAAGGACAGAAAGAGACAGTTCCAGAGCAGTGGGAGGCACCATGCCCAAACCTCCAGCACTTATGACAGAGCGAAGGAGAGGGAATGTACTCCTGGACGGAGCACCTGGCACCAGCATGAATAACAGAGGGCGGAAGGGTCCTACCATCAAAAGTAATCTTCACAACCCGAAGGGAGCTGACGGCGACGACCACGAGGGAGACGAGTAAACGTGTCTACCTGGAGGACAGAATGGTCCTGGGCCTCAAGGACGATGAATATCATCGTGGCAGTCCTGTAGATTCCGAACACTGGTTGCAACATGGGGCGGGAGGAGAATAGTGCCAACACTGGCATTCAACCGAGCGTTCTTGGAGACCCGAATAGGGGTCTTACCAAGGCAGGATAAAGCAGCCAAGCGGGAGGCCGCATCCTGAGAAGGAGCAGCAACAACACGTGTACCGAGACGGGTGGGGTTGAAGGTGACAGAGGTATCTACGGAATCAACAAGGTGCCTATGAAGGGAGAAATCGTTAGGAGGCGCAGAATCAAGAGGTAGGAGATCAAAGTATTTGGCCCACAAAGCGGGACTAAACAAGGCTTGATATGCATCGAAACGAGAAGGAATCGAGCAAGTGCGGCCGTGTCGAGGACGGAGTTGAGAACCCCCAGAGAGAGAGAGGGGTTAAAGGTGCAGTAGTCACAAAAAGAGTGCCAGGGGACGAGGTCGTCGCCACTGGGGGCTTGGGGCTCGACCCAACCACAGAGGAGGGAGGGGAGCCGAGGGGAGTAGTCAGAGAGGCCAAAGGAGGAGCATGGTCGGGGCCCAATGCAGCACAGACTACAGAGCCCAGTCTTCCAACACGGACCGACTCGGGGGGGTTTGGTCGCCCACCCCACTAGCATGAGAAGGGAAAAGAGGAAAAGAATTCGACATGAGTATGAAAGAAAAACATTCATTCACGAACGTGCCCCCACACCCACCATGGAGCCACAATTAGAGGCAGGACACCCAACAAGAAGCTATCGCCGATCATGCCGGGGCCCCCTAGGGGTGCGTCGTGAGTATACGCCCCACAAACGCCACCTTAAGAACCGTCAGTCCGTCGAGATCGGGTTCAGTGACGAAAGGAGGATTGACAATAAAGGGTTCCCCTCGCTCTCGCCGTTGGGTACTACAGTTCTACGGGTGCAAGAGTATGGCTCCTCAAGCACCCGGGCGTCAAAATAGATGAAGTCCAAAGGAATAACCAAAACAAGCAAAAAGTCGGCAGGAAACGACAAGTAGATAGGAGAAGAGGGGGGAGAAAAACGAAACCGAAAGAAAAGGAAAAGTCGTTCAGCACAATTAGAGAGGACAGCAGCAGGAGCACAAGGCTACAAAAGGACAGAGGACTGTCCCAAGGAGCATCACACACTGGCAGCCGCCCACCAAGCCCCCGTCACGGCAACAAAAAGCTGAACAGGGAGGGGGAGGGAGGGTGAAAAGAGAAGGTAACAAGGATTGGGAAATGGTCACTGTTATGTAGGTCAAGAACCTGCCAGGTGAAGTCCAAATAAAGAGAAGACGAGCAAAGAGAAAGATAAAGACAGGAAAGGGTGCAGGTGCGGGAGTCAACATGAGTGAGATCTCTAGAATTCAGAAGAAACAGAGAAAAAGATAGAACAAAAGATTCAAGGAGGCGGCCCCGGGTGTTTACCAGAACATCACCCCAGAGGATATGCCGACAGTTAAAATCTCTCAAAACGAACACAGGCTCCGGTAAGGAGTCCAACAGATGTTTAAGATCAGGATGGGAAAGTGTGACATTCGGGGAGAAATAAATGGAACAGACTATACCATTTACTCACAAAGATACGGGCCACAGAACACTGAATTGGCGGCTGAAAAAGTAGGGGGACGAAGGGAATATTAAGACGGATCAAGAGAGCACTAGAGGCATGGGCCCCAGCAAGAGCTGAAGGGGAAGAGAGAAAGGAAGCGACCAGGACGAGCGCCAAGCATTGCCTCCTGGAGACAAACACAAAGAGGGGAAAATGAACGATCAGAAGTTGGAGTTCATGGAAGTTGGCATAAAAGCCACAAATATTCCATTTAAGAACAGACAAAAAAAAAGAGAACAGAAACAGACAGCAAGGGAGAAATAAAGGCAAAGTAAAACACAGTAGACTAAGGAGGAACAAGATCAGGATTAGTGAAATCAGGATGATAGGGCAGAGTTAAAGCTAGCAAAGATAACCGAGACAAGGGAGCGGGAGAATGGACCAGAGGCAAACGGACTGAGTTCGGAACGGGAGGAGGCAACGGAGAGGGGCGGTCAAGGAAATGGGAGGCAGAAGGACAGAAACTGGTGAGGGTACCGAAGCAAGGGCAGCATCACGAGAGGATCAAGGACCAAGGCAACCTCCATAGGAGTGACAGGAGACCCCATCATTGAAAAGGGAGGGGAAGCAGGGATAGTGTCGGTGTCGGAAGGTGAGGAATACATCGAAGCCTTATTACCCACTGGGGAGGAATAAGGAGAGGAGCCCAGGCTTACACTTCTGACGTAGAGAGACAGGCGTACCATCAGCAATATACTAAGCGACCGCCTCGATAGTTTTAACAGGAGAACGGGAACGGGCAACATGACGAACGCTGGGAGGAGGATGGACAACGGCATGAACAGATAGGAGGCGAGGAGGAGGACCAAGAATCAGAGGGGATGGCTCAGAAGGAGATGGGCGAGAAGGGAGCGAGGTCACAGGAGACAAGAAAGACCGGAAAGGAAGTAAGGAAATACCAGACAGAGAACCAGGAGGAGCCCCTGCATATAGGATGCCCCCTGCACCATCGCCCTCTGTGATTATGTCTCCTGCGACATAATCTGCTCGCTATGTTGCCGCCCTCTGTCCGGCCGGCTCCTGTGCTCCAGTCCCATGTGGTTCCACCGTCTGCACCGAAGAGCTCTGTACGCCCTCTTCCCGTGACTTCTGCCCCCTGTGCCCCGGTGGTGGATAGCGCCGACCTGAATGTCCCTGACTTCATACATCGACCGCGAGGATCACGTAGTCACGTTAACGCGTCTGCGGAATTGTGGGCTGGGTGGGACGCCTACAGGAAGAAGTACCCGCGGCGTCTATATCCGGATAAATATGCTGATGATTAACTGTGTGTGTGGCTCTTGTTTTGTGTTGCTTTATTTATTTGTTTTGATGTGCTGTGAGCTGGGTTTTTTCAACTGTTTCTTGCCTGGTTCTGGTTGGGTTATATGGTACGCTTGTACTTTCTGTTGTGACTATTTCATTGTTACCTGTGTTTATGTTACCATTTTGTGTTTTGTACGACTTTTATTTGTGTGTTTTCCTATTCTAAAGTTTGTTCATGTGTTTCTTGCCTTGTAAAACTGAATGGTGATGTTCAAAAATTCAAATTCAAATGTTTATTCAGGTAAAGTACATACATACAAGATGTGAAACAAACAATGATGGATTTATAGCTTGAGCTAGTACATACAATGCCTAAAGCCACTATGACGCAAAGCGTTTCGGGCAGTTGATGTTGATGTTTTTGTTTCTTGTATTTATGTTTACCAAATAAAAAATAATAAACTCTGCACAATAGTATAGTAAACAACTCTACTAATCCAAGGTGCACGAAGGCGAGTCCCTCCTGCCCCCTCCTCTAATGCATTCTTCGAACCTAACCCACCGCCTGTACAATCTTACTTAACCCCAAAACAAAACCAGCCCCAGCTGGGTGATGCTGATGGTCCTCCACCATTCGCCACCAACGATCGCCCGAGGGCACTGCCCGAAAGTGAAGGAACCTCCCTCCCCCGCCCTATGGGCCGAAAGCAGCCTCGTGGGAAATCATTCAACCAGTTACACACAGCAGTCATACAAACAGCCTCCACATGTCCAGCATGTCTACAATTACACCATGTCCGAGTTGGACTACTGTAGAAGCAGCCGTCCGTAAACAATGTGGAGAGAACACAACACATCCCCTGTGGATCACCATCTCGGCCCTCCCGAACCATTTAAAAACCCCTTAGCCGCGCCGCAGATTTACCTCCACCTCCACACATATTCCACATAACCGTACCTGCCAAGCTCCCGGCGGGGAATATCCTCACACACATCTTGAAAGTCGCGTTCTTAACTGCCACACAAACGGCACACTCAAGTCCTTCACGCTCACACAGCCCCCTGTCCTTGTACAGTCGCACCTCCCGACCCTCATCCCGGTCTAGAACATTCTGCAACAAGTCACTGGTGGAGAAAAACACCACCACTGTGTCACCTCGAATGACCAAATAGTCCAATTTCACATGCATAACATCAGTGTCGCTAATCACATCACCCCGAGATCCACGTTACAGGTAAAGTCAGGTCAGCCAACGCCTTCCTCCTAGCGGAGGGACATCAGAGGCCATACTGAGGCTGCAGTAACCCAGTCAGAGCCACAGAACCACCATGCAGGGTAATCACCAATTCTCCAATCTCAAAGACGCATTCCTCCATTTAAATGTCCTTTAACAAAAATCTGTACTCTAGCAAATACACATTATTTTGAAATATTATAAATGCGTATAATTTGGCCTATTAAAGGTTGTTACATGTTTTGCTACTGTTCACTTTGTATTTTATTCATTTACAGTACGTAGCCGAAGCATTAAGAGAGGCGTCATTAAAACACGGAGAGCGAAACATTGCCAGAAAACTTTCTATATTAACAGCGTCGCCTCATGAATAAGGTGTGTTGGTGGCTGGATTAACGAGCAACTGACAGTTGTTTATGAGGACTGGCTGACCTCCAGCTCGATCAACTGTGCCTCCGCGTACTGGGTTAGTACGTTCTTGCATCGCTTCTCTTCAATTCACCAAGGGCATAGGGAGGGGGGGTTCTCATTCCAAACAATATCCTCCGTATTAATACACACATGTGCATGGTTACCAAACACAAACGTAAACAGTATGTGGACATGCACCCTATATTTAGGTATTTTTAATGGTATTTAATACGCGCCGATCTGTCATACAAAACACTGGCTGTGTATTACATCTATGCTAAGCTATGCACCTATATAATTTAAACATTAATAAAAATGTTTTAACACTATGCTCTCTAATATTAAAAGTAAACATTTCAAAAAAGATTATAAATCTTAAACACTGAAGAAGTATCACGAATTATGTATACAACGAATACAAGTGTATTCGTATAAATCTCGACATATGCTTGACGTGGCGATCTACCCAACGACCAACCCTTCGAGGTGGCGCGAAGCGGTCTGCTACTTTCAGACCGCTCCCGGCCGGCGTCCCACAAACACCAACCACCAGGAGCCCGCTGGCCGCGTCTACATTGATTGATTGATTGATGAAGATTAAGGCAAAAGGTGGCACGAAGTTAAGGCACCCAAGAGGTGGCACGGGCATGAATAGCTCGTAATGCGTCTACAATTGTTTTACTTCACGACCTGATGGACTCGACAAGCACGGTCGAAGGTAATAGCCTCTGGTTTGTTGTTATATCATATGTGAGGTGTGGGTGGACGCTCAGTTGGGGAGGACTGTTTCCTGGTTGTGTGTAGAAAATGTTTGTTGATAAGGCTAGAAATGATAACGACGAATTTGACAATAATACTAAAGGGGAAATATTGGTAGGATTATGAAAAGACTACGGCAAAAACTGCCTACCTCCTCCCCTTCCCCCTCTCATATAAGCAATTGGAAGGTTTGGAGGCGCAATAAATATATAAGATACATTGCCACTTCAATAAAAAGGTCAGTTACTAATTTACCATGGTAGAAACTGAGCCCGTGGCAGTCACTACCGCCCATTTCAAGTGTACTTTTTCAGTCATAAAGAGAACTTTTAAAGTGCATTATCGAAGTGGAGCCAACGATAGTACTATAGATAAGTGATAGCAGTTACTCCTAATGGTAAAAAAAAAATCAAATTTTAATTAACATTCAATGTTGTCCGGAATACTTCAACGATAAATGAGCGATAAATAGTAAACTTTAACTATTTGTTGCAGCTAGTTACGCAAAATTAATAATCTTCGGCTTCTTATTTCTCGGCAAGGCTTTCACCACTGATAAATGTTAAGATGATCATAATGTCGGTTTTGTTGCAGATTAGGAAAATGTCCTGACAGGAACCACAGTATACATCTGGGCTTGGGGGCAAAAGTTTAAAAAAAGTTCCAACTCGACAACAGTTTCACAACTTCCTTTCGCATATTTATCGATAACTGATTGTCTATCAGTTCTGTGGATTTCGGGCGGGAACAACTAAACAAGGAAAGCAAACTGTAAACTACACTTTAAGGCATCAAAAGAAAATGGGACGGGAAGGATTGTTTGGAAATGGATGGATAAATATTTAAAATTCTCACATACAAATAACGTTATTACTTTGTGTAAGCGAAGAAGAGGTGCCGTCGTCAATTATCTATATATCATAGTCATCAACTTTACACCGCTGTTGCAGGAAACGCAACATTACGTGCCTGTACACAGGTTTGTCTTGGTAACCAAATGGGTAGAGTCTTTTTAACTTTTGTATAAAACTAACCAAAGTTAGTATCGTGACTTGTGTAAACTTTAAACGCAACATTATCCAGGTACTAATAATTATTTTTATTACAGTTTGGCGATTACTTAAAACACGAGTAAACCAACACGTGGCACCATGGCAACCCACCTCCTCAGGAGGCAACGTTCAGCCAAGCTGCGGAGCGTCCACAACAAAGCTACACAAACAAGTGGAACCAAACCTGCATTTATAATTAATTTCAATGTCCCTTGAATAAAAACATACTACAATTGTGTGGGGTTTTTTACACGACCTAATTTCCAATGGCTTGACGGAAACTTTTACAACATTTACATTCCATGTTCTCCTAATCTTTTGTCGGTTGAATTTTGTTTTTATTGAGGCTAGTATTTCCTCCCCTGATTCCATGTATGACTAACAATCCTTTGAGATGGTAATATTAAATGAACTTGGCTACTTTTTTTTTTATCTACACTGTGTAATCTTTCGTAAAATAAGGTGGCAGCACATTGCTGTGTATACCAAAGCTTGTTAATACCCATAGTGGCATATACTTTAAGATTAACATACTCTAGATTGCCAGAATTAGATAGGGTGGTAATAGCTAGTTTAAAAGATCAATTGTTCATAGGAATTGTTAGATATACCGGAACACCCAAAGTATAACACCTTTGGTAACATTCTATAATTTTGGTATGGTAAATTGAGCTGTAGTTCTGGAAATGATCAGCTGAATTACTGTTAGTAACTTGTATAATAATTTTTCAAAATCAAATTTTTTGCTAAAATGTAACAATCGCGCATGTTAAATAACTTGCAATATATCACTGTCCGGAATAAATTAATCTGATACGAAATTACGAGGCGTTCCCATGCATGAATATAAAATATTTTCAAACTTCAAAGGACAATTGTATTAGTCAATGCAGGCTTACGACGTTACTGTGGTGACTTGAGTTAAACGTGTAATACTTCATGGCAAGTAAAGTTTCATAATTTATCGACAAGTTTATTCCCGAAGCTCGTGTTACAAAATCTACTCCTAACCTTACTTTCTATCCACATGTCACTATCCCCAAGTGACATCACACACCGTATTGTAATCTAGTACATAAGGTTTCTGATTCTAACTCTCCCTAGTAATCGATCCATATCTTTGTTATAGACACAGACATGACTGGTTTCCTACACTTTTCCTATTCTTACTTCTTACATCAGCAGAATTACATCACGGGAGAGGGGGGAATTCTTTGACAAGCCGCCAGCTTCCTGTCCTCGTAGAATTTTAGCAGAATTTACCCGAGGGCCACTAATACCAGTGGCCCTCTGGTAAATTCGACTAAAATTCCGAGGTCAATCACTGTGCGTGGCATGTCTAGGGGCTAACTGGAATACTTGTACCGTCAGTGTACGCTATGAAGGTTTTGCCTGCAACCCCAGTGTGCGATTCCGTTCTTTCATGCTTGCAACAACCTCGTCGGTCAGATATCCATTACAGGTAACAGTTACTTGTAATGCCAAACCAACGATTCTACTAATGTTTACGCATTGCGGAATGGAGATAAACTCAAATAATCTCTTTTTCAGGAACTAGCACAAGTGCGGACGGCTTCCTTTGAAGTGGTGTCTGCACATTGTTTTAAGAAGACACCAATATAGCTGGGAACCCTGAAAAATTCGTCCTACTCTACCAGAGATAAGAAACAACCATTAATAGATTTCAGCCACCATTGCATGAAAGAGTTGAAACACTCTAGAACCACGAGGCCACTGCTAGAGCCATCCACAGTGACAAAGGAACGTTGACATCAGAAAAGCTGGTGACGATAAATATATAAAATTGCGTACAGTTCCGCCATAAGATGCTAGTTGGTCATTTAGCCTTGGTCAGGAAAGACAATGACGTAGCAGACACCGTCGCCAGACTTACAGCTCTGCGAGCAGACCTGTGCAGTGTTAGAGTAAGAAAGTTAAGGGAAAACATGTTGCATGTCAGCAGGGGGGGGGGGGGAGAGAATTCACCATGTGGGTCCAGGCCTTGCAGAACTTCACACGTGGGACCCTTCATTGGGGCAAGCTTGCAATGCGAGGAGAAAGATTACAAACGTGAATCGAAAGGAAATCTGAGGCAGATTTCCTCTCGCCTAGGCCGTGCTTTGACACGGCCTAAGCGAGATTAAGGATGTTACTGGGACCGTGTTAGGTAGCGTAGGCAGTAACGATCACAACGATCCTTTATAGACAGGACGCCGGTATCAATTTACAAGCTCTGCGAGGTGAACGAACGAAAGGCACCACATCCGAAGAGTTACCCAGTACGGTGCAGATCATCAACACGATAAAGGTTCCCGGAAGAGACGGAGGAATAAGGCGGCCCAGCTCTAATCAAGTTTATACAGAACTAAAGAGGAATGCAAGTAAACGAGGTGCGCCTATCAGTCCCCCAGGAAGTATGGGCCAATATATGAAGGGCCTCAGAGCATTCAATTCGGAGATGAGCAACATGGTGTGACCAAAACAAACATGAGCTTGGTAATATTAGCATATAGAAGGGGATTATCATAGAGTAACAACGGTGGACGAGGGACGACATGCCTCGTCTGAGCAAGTGTCATAGTACAAGTCTTTGATGTGAAGAACATGTCAGCCATGACTGGTGGCCCAGGACCGCACGTTCTCTATTGTGATTTGCAACTGAGGTTAGGAAGGGAAGGAAACTATCACTAAAAGGCGCCATGACATTACAACTGTATAGGACTTGAAAGGGATCAGGTCAAGGAGTTGGGATGGGACTTTGGGAAGGAATGGTGCCCTCCCGAGTGCTCTCTTTTCTATTCTTTTTAATTCTGATTTGACTATTTTTCCTGCAAGGGAAAGTGTAAGTTAATCGGAGCCCAACAAGTGCCTTCTATAAGTGAATTTGGGTGTTAGTTTGACTTTATAGTAATTTGTAAAGTTAGTTACTTTACAAATTATTTTACAAATTTACACACCTATAGTCCTGTGCTTTAATTTTGTGTTGAGAACTTTAACACCTTAATAACATGGCCTTCTCTTTAATCCATTTATGTACTTCAATCATGTCACCCCCTTGCTTTTCGTCTTTTTTAAAATATGTCAGTTAACTAGGTTTTCCCAATCTGACTTCATAACGACGCTTTCTAATTATTGGAATTAACTGTGTTATCCTGGTACTATTTTGCAAGCGACGTCCACAAGAGCAAGCAGACTCAACAACAGCTTCAGTGTTCACCTTACCTTACATGAGCTTGGCTGCCGCGTTCCAACAGCAGACGACACACTCCCACGTACCTAAACAATATATTTACGTTACTATACGTAAGGAACAGCATGAAGTATTTCATTGTTATGCAGGATTTACTTAATACAATTTGTAATTCAAGAAATATGAACCTAGAAATTGGAAGAGGTAACATTTTAATGAATATCAATTATAGTGGGATTACAAAAATCTTTGGTGGTAGGAAATAGTTGGAGGGGGGAGGGGCAGCGCATAGTTGGGGGGCCGGGGGACGCAGGAAATAGTAGGGAGCCCTAAAATAGTAGGCAGAAAATAGTACGAAGGAGGCAGAAAATAGTAGAGAGGAGCCAGAAAATAATAGAGCCAAAAAATTATTGGGAGCCACAAAATTATTGGGAACCAACAAATTATTGGAAGCCAAAAAAATATTGGAAACCAACAAATTATTGGGAGTCAAAAATTTTTGGGAAACAACACATTAATGGGAGCCAAAAAATTATTAAGAGCCAAAAAATAATTGGGGGCCAGATAATAGTAGGGAGGAGCCAGAAAATAATTGGGAGGTAGAAAAGAGTAGAGGAACACAAAAGAGTAGGGCGGCAAAGAGTAGGAAGGAGGTAGAAAATAGTAGTGGGAGGTACGAAATAGTAGTGGGAGGTACGAAATAGTAAGGGAAAAAAGGAAACAATGCACGGAACTGTGCATTCTCTCTCTCTCTCTCTCTCTCTCTCCTCTCTCTCTCTCTCTCTCTCTCTCTCTCTCTCTCTCTCTCTCTCTCTCTCCTCTCTCTCTCCTCTCTCCTTTCTCTCTCTTTTCTTTCTCTCCTCTTTCTCCTCTCCTTTCTTTCTCTCCTCTCTCTCTCTTTTCCCTCTGTCTTTCTAAATGCAATAATAAAGTTAATTATTCCTAATAATTGCAGTAAATAGAATTATTTTAAAAACCTTTAGTCCTAAACGTTATGATATAACATTTAAAACACGTTTTATTACAACGTTATGACCTCACGTTTTATACTCGTCTCTACAAATTCTCCAAACACGTATATTAAACGTAATTTAAAACATGCCCAAAACAATGAAATGCCATTTTTAGCACGTTTAGAAAACGCGAAAATGTTTGGTGGGCGGAAGGCTGAAAACAGTAGTGGAAAGGGGCAAAAAATAGCAGGGGGAGGGGGGGGGGCAGGAAATAATGACAAAACAGCAGCTATATAAAAGCCTTGATGCCGGCCACTCAGGCCAGGCTGGGGCCGCCGGCCAAGACACTTGGGGCTGCTATACCGCAAGGCACTACGGGCTCACCATAGCCCGTGCTACTTGGAGCTTTTTGTTCCGGGTGGGGAATCTTTAACAACAACAACAACAACATATACCGCAAGCTCTACCCAGTCCCATGCCCCTCCCCCCCCCCCCCCCCCCCTCTCGTCTACCGCAAGCCGTCCAGCCTCGTTCACCTCTATTTTGGCCTTAGTGTAAAATATATCAAGAGCAACAAGGTAATATTATTTGCGGCTAGGAACACGACTTCTGATGCTATGCTTTAGTAAACATTGATGACTGCAACACTGCCTTATACTCACAGGTTTTCAGAGTTCTACCTTATCCCCTGCTTTCACCTTCTCAACAGACGCCTATATTTATTTTATAGCGTGAGAGAGACCGGACATTCGACTCACCCTTGACATGCTAGAATATCAAAACTGCCAAGTTTCAATTAAGTTTTGCCGCTGACCGCTAGAGGCGATGAAAGATCCCTAATTTTACATCGTACAAATTACCTTAAACTTTGCTATATATTTATTAATGTTGTTAAAATATTAACGCAGCACGTGAGTCGTTACCTGTTGAAGACTTTATGTTTACACGAAGATAAAATATATAATGCATATCACTTTTATTGTTACAATAATAAAATATAATTATGGTGCATAACGGCTATTTAGGTCTTATCATGTGCTGAGGTTTCAAGCCAAGCAAGCATTAAAGTGCAAATACATAGTCATACGAGTCCAATGGTTGAGGAAAATTCTCTGCCAGACAATTCCTAACAATGGCATGTTATTTGTCATGGTAATACGTCTGCTGCATTCAGATTTCTACTTAAAATCTGGCCTCAAATAGTTAGGACGATGTACGCACGAACACGTTACTGTGTGTTCCTTCCCTTAGAATCCTAAGGGAAGGAATCATACAACATCTCACAGAGAACAATCTTGTAAAAGCAACGCAACATGGGTTTGTTAAAAATAGATTCTGCCTTACTAACCTGCTCACATTTCTGGAAACGGTAGCCGGCTATTCAGACAAAGGACTTCCGGTAGATGTAGCTTACATGGACTTTGCTAAAGCTTTTGACAAGGTACCACATGAGAGACTGACAAGGAAATTACAGGCACATGGAATAAACAGGAGAATACTGGAATGGATGAAACAATGGTTAAAACACATCAAACAAAGGGTTGTGCTAAATGGGAATGAATCTGATGGGTGCGACAGGGTTCCATTTTGGGGCCAATTCCCTTTTTGTCATAGACATTTTGTCATAGACATAGATGAGAATATTACAAACCAAATCATCAAATTTGCAGATTACAGTAAGATCTATGGTAAAGTGGGAAGTGAATGTGATATTGAGACCTTACAAAGAACCTACATGAACTCTACAAATGGTCAGATGACTGGCAAATGCTTTTTAATGTTGATAAATGCAAAACCTTTAATGTGGGGTATACCAATTCACGTCAAAACTAGCAAATTGACAGCACTACCTTACAACAGATAGACGAAGAAAAGAAACTTGAAGTTAGAATCCATCATTCACTAAAAGTTGCACAACAAGTGCAATTTAGAAAAAAAGCGAATCAAATCCTGGGAATAATCAAGCATACCTTAATTTACTTTCAAGGAAAATATAGTCGTCGTTCAATTGTATAAGTCTCTCGTGTGCCCCCACCTGGATTATTGCATCTAGGCATGGAGACCTCATCTTCAGAAACATAGCTACTCTGGAGAAGGAGCAACACCAGGCAACAAAAATCATACCGGAGCTTAGTCATCTCATGTATCAGGAACTTGTTCGGCTTTTGGTAGCAATTTTTCACCAGAATAGGGGTTTGTTTTGGAATGCTTACCTTTCTGGGTGCCTGACCCGGTCGATGGTAGACATAGAATGCTTCCAACCACACGGGGGTTTCTATAGGCCATTGCTCCCCTTCCCTCTCTTGAGGGGGGGACCAGGTTCTGGCTCGTGGTCTCCGGTAGGCCCACAGAACTCCATACACATGACTGATGCCAAAGTTTGACATTAGCATATCAGCCTGGTTACCTCCGGGGAGCCGAAGGGGCTCCCCCCCAGAAAATAAGTAAATAGGAGTTAGCCAACTGTTGTGATTTGCATCCTAGTGAAGGACAATAGTCGCCCTACAGAGTATCTTGAACAAGTTTCCTCTTTTCGACTCTGGGAAAATAAAAGAGAACCATAATGTACTGTAAATACATTAACACCTGCAATTTTAAGTTAACTCTTTGGGAATAAAACCAATATTTCAGTTACTTTATCTATCTTGAGGTTACCTTGAGATGATTTCGGGGCTTTTTTAGTGTCCCCGCGGCCCGGTCCTCGACCAGGCCTCCACCCCCAGGAAGCAGCCCGTGACAGCTGACTAACACCTAGGTACCTATTTTACTGCTAAGTAACAGGGGCATAGGGTGAAAGAAACTCTGCCCAGTGTTTCTCGCCGGCGCCTGGGATCGAACCCAGGACCACAGGATCTCAAGTCCATCTAGAGAAGTGTGTCCAAATTCAACTCCCCCTAAGCCCCGAAATCTTTAGTCGAGGATCCTAGAGCAGAGCCAGCATCCTCACCCACAACCTGGGATAGAAAAGCAGGGTCCAAGGAAAATGCTTCAGAGAAAGAAAGGGCTGATTGAAAAGAAAACCCTGAAGCCTCCATGGGACTATCAGGCTAAAAGGCCTCTGCCTCTGAATCAGAAGAGGCAACTCCTGCCCGAGCCACATCTTGGCTAAACATCGCCCTGATCTGGAAACCCGCAGATGCTTCAGGGCTGGAAGCAGAGAGGGCAGGGGGATAGGATCAGAGGAAAGGCAAACAATGCCCATTGGAAAAGGAAGAGGAGGTGCGGACAGAGCCAATTAAGGTGGAGGTCACCAACATCTCCAGTTCTGGGTCTCTATGATCAACTGGGACAGTGTCAGGGCTTCCAACCAAGCACACAATCTAGACAACTGCAACCTAAAAATACCAGTACACAAAGTGGTGCTGCCAGGTTAGCCCTAACCTCATCAGGAGGATCACAAAGAATAGTCATATGGGGAGATTCAACCCTTCAGAACCTAGGATTGTAGATGTCACCAACCAAACAGGTAGCATGGGAGAAGCAGAAGAAATGAACGCTGCCACGCGACATGGACAATAAGCAACCCTCAAACTCGCACGAGGTGAGAGCATGTTAGGGGAAAATATCCAAGACACCACCGAACCCACGGGGAATTTCAAAAGCCTGAAGAGTAAACCCAAGCCGCACACCAAGGCACTGGGATCACTACACCGGATCTGAAAGTAAGCCGACACAGCCTGGGCGATGCAGCCATGAAGGCCAACCTCAACATGTTGAAAGAAGAACCACAAGTGCACCCCTACAATTTATAGTCGCTCCCAACCTGAGTTAAGACAGGATCAACCCAAGACACCTCTCACCCTGGAAGAGGGCCACCACAAGCAAGTAATTATCAAAAGAAGGCACCAAGCCAGGAAGGCTATGTAGCACCACCAAATGTGCGGGATAATCATAAGGGGCTAAATATCACTAAGGATGCCAATACGAGAAAAAAAAACATATGGCAAATGATATCAAAGGTGTCCGATTCACCAAGAATTCTATCGAGGTACAAGAGACTGCGAGGGATGGTCAGGAAGCAAGACAGGTATGTACTGGAAGTCAGGACATTAAACAAGGATATACTGTACACGACCGTAAGAGGGACAATGCAGTTTGGACAATAAGGAGCAGTGGGGTGCTTCATTACCTGCAGGGCCATTATAAGCAAAGAGGACCTCTAAGGGAGCAACTCTCAAACACATCAGGGAAGATAACCCTAGCTGACACTTAAAGGGCAGCACTAAGGAGCACACAGGGAAGGTAACCCTGCACATATGCAGCTTCAATCACACTTAAACTTGGTTCATGTTATACTGTAGTGTATAACAAATGCCACAAAGGGCAAACACCACCCTTTAGCTGAAAATTAGAACACTGGAACAAGCACGGAAAAAGAGTACCCAACACATCAGCAATACAACTGGGATCCCAGCTAGTGATGGGCTATCTTTTCCCTTCCCCCCCAAACCTTTTGTCTGTTGGAATGAGGTTATCCAAGGCTGCACAAGTAAACTATCATCCAGTGTCTCCCTTTGATGTGTATAACCCAACATGAAAGGCAGAGATCTTTACTGAATCAGTGTGCATTGTTGGTTTGTCCTGACTGATCATCTTAATGCCCAGATTACCAGAAGACTCTTGCCTTGGGGAGCAACCAAAAGTTATAGGTCAGAAAGTACCTAAGCTACCACAGTAGTTCATTTTATGCACATTAATAATTTCGCTTACTGTAATTTGTTTGTCATTTTACAGCAATTTGAAGGCACTATTAAATAAACTGTAAACTAATTTATTTTGTTAATAAATAATAATACTCTTGGGATTTAAGTTTGGAAAAATTAAGCCAGAAAATTTAATGATTTATTCTATAGTCCTCCTTCCAACACACACACAATAATATTTATGGGTACACTAACAGTCGACATAAATCAGATATATATACACACACTTTAATATATCAAATACAGTAATGTCAACTTCAGGCAGCTGGTGATAAAGCACCTCCATCATTAGAATTAAGACAAATTTGCAATTACAAAAATGTATTCTTAGAAAACACACTGATATATCTGTGTATGTTAAATAATAAACCATGGTGGAGACAGCACTCCCCTGCTGCCAGAACACGGACATCATCATCATCGTACACTGCACAATCACAACATCTTGGAGAAGTTATAATATACAGAAACAATACATTTAGACTTATGCAAAATACTAACTGTAGTTAAGTGATGTACTCACAGAGCAGCAACAGCCCTTGGCCAGAGCCTTTAAGACAAATGTGTGGAAATGTTTCTTTGTTTACAAAGTGGGTGAGCATTTAAGTACACTTCTAAACCAATTTTAAAGCCCTCTAACATTTACTGTGTCACACTGATATGAGAGTAAAGGCAGTGAGTTCTGGGATTGTATGTCTTGCTCCAGCTGGGTAACTGCTTCAATCAACAGTGTGTGTTTCCTGCATAAAAGTCTTTACTGCATTATTATAACCTCTAAAATAGGAATTCCTTTAAAATATCATAATTTATATTTAATACTGTAATATTATTTAATTTTTCAGACATTTCAGACAAAATCTTTTGACCATGTACTACATTTGTACATGGCAATACATTCTCAGTTGAGACTGAATAACTCATGGTTTGGTAATTAATGAAAGATACTGAAACCTATACATATCATGCAGAATTGTGTTCTACCATCACATGAGGAAAACAGTCTCTCTTAAATTATTTCATGCACTCCTCATTCACTGACAGAAAATAATGAAAGATTACAACACACACATATACAGTCCATTATGGATTGCACCTTTCTGGTATTGAGAGGTGTATCATGGGGACATGTTCAACAGTACACATATGTTTGGTGAGTAGATGATTTAAATACAAAGACAGTGAACACAATACTGTACCATTCTTCATTACAATACACTTGTCAAAATACCAACAACCACTCTTACTCTTAAAAACTCAATACAATATGATTGAGTTTATAACATGTGTCAAAACTGTAGATTGCAGCCATGGTATTCAACCTCAGACCATTATCTAGTATATTTTGAAGCAGAAGCTATGCATGCTTGTGTGGAAACATTCCAAACATTTCATGTGAACATAAAACCAAAAACAGCTTATCTATTAAAAATATTTACCAATTAAACAAATTACCCATATTATAACTTTTTAAAGCACTTATACATTTAATGCTAAAATAACAAATTTAATTGACTCATCATTGCACCAATGAATAGCATATACTATCTACTATATACATCTTCAATAGGTAAACAATGTATTATACATAAATTTTGGAGTTTCAGGTCTGTATCACACTTCCAGGTATGTCAATGCTGGCCAGCAATGCCTCTAGCTTTGGCCGAGTTATCAAATTTGGCTTCATTTTCTAACACTTCTACTCTTGTTAGCATACTCTGCAGCATACTGTTTTCAGCTAGTCATACAAAATCTCTTAGCATACTTTACAATACGAACACGTCTGTGGCCTTGTGGTTGAGTTCAGAAACCATATTCGGAAACTTGCATCACTTTCAGCTGCAGCAAATCTACAACACTGGAGAAGGCTGAAGCATTCATATGGATGCAAAAACAGATTCAACAAATTTCATAAATAAGTAACAAATATATTAGACACAAGACAATATTTTTTCCAACACTATTATCAGTGATAACAGTCTTAATGCTGTTGGCGTATCATCTGATAATTATTTTTTTTCCTTTTATGGTTACAAAATCAATACAGTACTGAAATTGAAAAACATGGGCAGCTGATTACAATGTTAAACTACATTTGGTTCCCTTTTCCTATCTTTGAAAAGCTCTTTGGCATACCATATACCTTTTATCACTAATTTGTGAGACATTTGGCCATGGCTCCACATAGAAAGCTAAATCTAATTAAAATACAGATTATCACATATATAAGCATGTGGAGGAACAGCTGTGTGTTAGTACTTTAATCAAATTTAACTTATTGAGACTGTTTTCATTGTATATGTGTAATGCCATGATTTATCCCAGGGGTAGAGAATTTTGCCTATATATTGGATAGTGGTGCAGCTATATCTATTATTACAATAATAATAATAATAATAATAATAATAATAATAATAATAATAATAATAATAATAATAATAATAATAATAATAATAATATTATTATTATTATTATTATTATTAATAACACAAATGGTAATCGACTGTGCTAGTTGTGGTCATATCACACAGTTTGTAATCCTGAAATCCCTAATATATTTAGGAAATAATACACTTTCATTATCTAGTACAGTTAAATTTTACAATTAAAATTTTTATTGCAGTACAATACCATATACGAGTTTAAATTCATTTATGAAAACCAAATAAACTTTCATAACTTCTAATTTTAATACAGATGCAAGGAAAACTTGTGAACAATTTAAAATGATTTTAATACCTATTAAAATATATATCATTAGATTCAAAGCTCATCGTTACAGCAAAAATTAGGCATAAGGTATATTTAAACTCCTAGTATATTGGAGCTGGTCACTTGTTACATTCATAGTGCAATATCCCACTCCCATAGACACATTATGAACTCTAGTTTGAGTTACTTTCCCCCAACCAGGCACCAAGTGCAGGTAAGAACTCAGTTCAGCCCTGAATGACTGTCAAAATGTGCATTCTACTACATCTAATTAAAAACTTCCTTCAAAAATATTTTATAGTAAAGATTCTTTAATGCCAAATATTACACTATGCCTATTAATTACAAACTGTAATGTCTTGTCTAGCTGCTACAAACACCCACTACAAGATGTCAACATGGTTATGTACACAGAGCTAGCTGGCAAAACCAAATAGAACCTGACAACTATCTGACTTGTCCAAAATCAGAAACGACATCAAGGAAACCCAACCTGGTCCAACTCCAAAAAGATGAAGGCCACTTTGGCACTCCACGAGACCCTGAGAAGATGGGAAATGATAAGGTCATATTGGCCCAGAAAAGATTGTGTCGTGTCTTTGGGAATGTGGGATATTACCTTAGGGAGCGACTAAGTACCCTAGACTCAAAAAGCTGATACGCATAACTATAAACCAACATTTTTGGAAAAATCCTCCTCCCCTTAACTATATATGCACAAATGTATGAACTTACAAGTGTTGATATTACATGAGTTTGAGGACTGAAGCATTTGGGTATGCAAAGATCAAAGAATCTACAAAATAATTTAGGAATATGAAGGCATAAAAATAACAAAGACTGTGAAGGTTATTATAACTCCAGTAGAGTAAAGCCAAATTTCAATTTGTGTTAACAGAGTAAAGTCAGTCTGGAGTGACAACAGAAACTCTTGCACGTCACATACTTGTAGTCACCTTTAAGGAATTTAATTTGTATCAAGTTGTTTGAAAGAGACTCAAGTAGCCAGATTCTTTTATATCAACCTCAACATATTCTTATTCAAAAAATGTTAAAACAGGTAAGTAATGAACCTTTAACTGTACTCAATTTTACAATTTAATTGATTTGTATAGTAAACAAACAATTTGAGTGAAGGACTCCAACCACGGGAATCATTAATGTCCTACTTAACCAAAATTATATGATAAATAGCACATATTTCAGAAATAACACTAGAGATATTCTTTTTACTCTGGTCCAATTAGTAACAGCAGATCCTGATTCACTTGGAAACTGCCATAACACTTGCTGATTCACAAAACTATTCCTAGGTAGTTCACAGGTCAAAATATGTACCAAGATCTTGATGACATGCAATAGATCATCCAATTGACATCCAGTAGACGTTAAGAAAACACATTCTTGGAGAATATTAACTGACTGTACTATTTTGGACTCAATCTCTGAATGGCAAGAAACCTGGACCCGAGAAAGATGATCCATCTCAGAACACCACACATTTGGGGTTCTGCCTTTTGACTAACATATGACCTGCCAAACATTCAAGATAACCACTGCCTTAATTCTAACATCTTACTCCTTAAACAGGCCTTTGACCCACTGAAATAATCTTATTATTTCATCCATTATCAATTGAAAACAACAGAAACATCACATTGAGAGATCAAAATGACTAAAAAAATCTAAATGACATGTAGACAAAGTTAAAATGAAAAACAAACATTATACAAATGACTGAGCCTTTTTAATAATGTGTAATATGACAAAATATACTCAACTTTGCAAACAGGAAGGCAGTATTCTCAATCCTGTATTCCCATGATCAGGAACACGGAAGAAAATTACCTTTTAAAAGGGATGGTAGATTGCCATTCCTATTCTATAATAAAATAAGATGCAAAATGTGGATTATTTACCCTGTTGTTAAATAAGCAAATATTTATCACTGCATATTAAAAAATAGTCTAAAAACACATGATAAAATGCAATGATAAACTTCAGCTATAAACAACGTCCATGCAAGATTTACAGCATAAATAATCCAACAAATATCATAAACAATATTAACCTAGAGTAAATATTAACATATACATTAAAGCCCATTCCTTAAAACTTAAAAGAAATACAGTCATCCCCTCACCTCTACAGCAATAACTAATATTTGAATAATTTTAATATTAAGTTCTTTCTTAAGTCTGCCTGCACTTTTGGTCATCATAGCAGGTACCCATAAAACAATATCCTTAAAAAATACCTATAAAAAGGTAGAATGTAAGTCACTTTTTCCAGTGAATTGGAGATAAAGATTATGTCACCATCCCCCCAATACTGTACATCACAGAACATTTGGCTCAGTATTAAGATGCCTTAAGTGTAAGATAAATAGAATATAGGCTGCGAGCAGCTGCGTCCAACAGCCTGGTTGATCAGTCCAGCAACCAGGAGGCCTGGTCGACGACCGGGCCATGGGGACGCTAAGCCCCGGAAACACCTCAAGAAGATTCTAGGCTTCCTGCTTCTCATGTTATTTTAATTTGCCAATGAATAACTGATTACAACCATCCAGTTATTTTACATATATTTTCCATACTTAAAATAATAGCATTAACTGACAAACATGAGTAAATTCCAGTCTCCACCTAAATTTAAGAAACTCGGAGGCATAATAACCTTTAACTAGTAGCAGGAAGCACCCTGGCATGATAAAATCTGATTTTGAGCAGAAGTTCTAAATCACATATGAATAACATTCTGACTAGTTGTAGTTAGCGAGAGGATGGAACCATAATGATAAAAATTCCCTATACAAGGCTCAGTTGTGGTGTAATGCTTTTCCATCACCAACAGACATTACAAAACCTTGACTCAATTCTTCCAGTACCATATGTACGTCACAAGAATTGTTGGTAACTGAGGCAGAGTGATCACATCAACTGTCCTCTACTTGTCCAGCATCATCATTACACCGAGGTCCAAGTGATTCTATAAGTACTACATGAACCTCACTTAAGAACTGGGTGCAATAAAATGCACCATTCAGCTTAAGGAGACCCAATGATGAGTGATTGAATCCACAAGGGAACTAGACCTATAAGAAGCATCACTCCTAACGAGGTGGCCTTAGGTACTGCAGATCCTCCAATGACAGCAGTGAGGCGGTCACCATAGGTATTTAGCAGACGTAGAGCTACACCATTGGTCCAGCCAAAGCCAACCTGGGTGTCGTATTCTCCACCACCTCCTGGTAAGCCAATCACAGTCACATTGTACTGGGGAAAATTAACAATTAGTCATTAAAAAGGTTTACAGTAATAATAAACAAGTGTACACTGCATATCTGTTCATCATACTTATTTTAAATGAGATTTACCTAAATTTACCTGAGGGTAACCATCTTTAATGGGCTCAACAAAGACAGGCAAGCAACTGATAACCTATCAATATCAGTTGCTTGTGGAAGGTTCTACTAACCTTCCTCATATATTTTCCTGTTGTGTTTTTATGTTGAAATGTTTTAGAAATTGCAGCTTTGGCAGGTAAGAAAATCCATAGGTTTATTATTATTAAACTGTTATCTGTCATTAACTGTATCCTGTTGAACTTGAAACTATTGCCCTTAGTGTGAGACAAATTAGGCCAATTTAACCAAATGACTTCTATCAGCATTGCCAATAGAACATTTTATTCAGTACAATAGAACATCTATTCAGTACATTTTAAGTCACGTTGAGATCAGATCGGTCATGTTTTGTTTACTGTGTTGTTAGTTCTGAGGCCTACAGCCTTTCCTGGCATGAGAGTTAGCTATTTTGTAAAGCTCACACGCCAGCGTAAGAGCAGTACTGGACACAAGGCACAGTGCAACACAGAGAGAATCTGGAGTTGGAACCACATGACCGAACCACAATCACATCAGCCGAGAACTGACTCGGTGGATAGCCGGTGTGATGGGTCTGGGGTTCCCCCTTCCCCTTCCCTGGAAGGGGGGAACTGCGCAGACTAGTAGTGCAACAAGTGTAACGTCATGCTCGGTTGTTCGTTTTTCAACTGGGGAGTTCTATTTACTTGTTAGCCTTCTCTAGCAGTTTTAACCAGATTAGGAATTTGTTTTGGGGTGCCTACCTTTCTGGGTGCCCGGCCCGGTCGATGGCAGACATAGAATGCTCCACACACATTGTGGAATAGGAGAACATAGACCCCACACAACCTATATATAATGTGAGAAATCTTTAAAGAATTCTGATAAAGAAAGAGATCTAGGGGTGGTTCTAGATAGAAAACTATCACCTGAGGACCACATAAAGAATATTGTGCAAGGAGCCTATGCTATGCTTTCTAACTTCAGAATTGCATTTAAATACATGGATGGCGATATACTAAAGAAATTGTTCATGACTTTTGTTAGGCCAAAGCTAGAATATGCAGCTGTTGTGTGGTGCCCATATCTTAAGAAGCACATCAACAAACTGGAAAAGGTGCAAAGACATGCTACTAAGTGGCTCCCAGAACTGTAGGGCAAGAGCTACGAGGAGAGGTTAGAAGCATTAAATATGCCAAAACTAGAAGACAGAAGAAAAAGAGGTGATATGATCACTCCGTACAAAATAGTAACAGGAATTGATAAAATCGACAGGGAAGATTTCCTGAGACCTGGCACTTCAAGAACAAGAGGTCATAGATTTAAACTAGCTAAACACAGATGCCGAAGAAATATAAGAAAATTCACCTTCGCAAATAGAGTGGTAGACGGTTGGAACAAGTTAAGTGAGAAGGTGGTGGAGGCCAAGACCGTCAGTAGTTTAAAAGCGTTATATGACAAAGAGTGCTGGGAAGACGGGACACCACGAGCGTAGCTCTCATCCTGTAACTACACTTAGGTAATTACACACGTGCATTTCTATAGGCCATTGCTCCTCATGCATCTCTGAGGAGGGGGTTCCAGGTTTTTTTTTTTTTCTGCAGGGATATTCCTGCACGGGCCCTAAGCCTCTGGCTGGTCCACTAAATGTTGCATGTTTCTGTTTTACTTGGGCGGAGTATGAGTATTTATGACTCGTATGGTCACTTCAGTAAGATTTTGCCCCCCCCCCCCCCCCCGAAAAACCAGCGTTCAATGTAATGAAATGCCATTTTCCATGTGAGACCTAAAGCCTCCCCAGAGCTTATCCAGGCTGATATGGATATGTTAGACATGGATATGTTAGACTTTGGCATCAGTCTGTGTGAATGGAGTACTTAGGCCTACCGGGAACCAAGAGCCAGAACCTGGCTCACTCAGAAAGACACGAGGAGCAATGGCCTATAGAATTCCACATGTGATTTGGAGCATTCTATGTCTGCCATCAACCTGGTCAGGCACCCAAAAAGGTAAGCATCCGAAAACAAACCCCTATTCTGGTTGAAACTACTACTAAAAGGCAAATGAGTGGACAGAACTCCCCAAAGAAAAACAAGCAAACGAGCATGACGTCACCATATTGCCGTGCCGCTGTCTGGGTAGCTTCCCCCTCCTCGGGAAGGGGAAGGGGGAGCCCCAAACCCCTCATGCCAGCTACCCACACCCCAGTTCAGAGGCTGGATGTCAAAAAACCAGCGTTGAATGTAATGAAACGCCATTTTCTGGGTGAGCCCCGGAGGCTCCCTGGAGCTTATCGGGGTAATGTATGTTATGTTAGACCGGGACATTAGCTAAGGAGTTCAGACCTACCAGGGACCAGCGCCAGAACCTGGCCCCTTCAGAGAGGTTTCAGGGAGCAATGGCCCTGGAAAACCCCATATGGTTGGGGGTTTTCCTTATCTGCCATCGACCGGGGTTAGGCACCCAGAAAGGTAGGCGTAACAAAACAAACCCCACATGGTAAGAAACTACAACAAAAACCGAACAGAGAGATAAAAAACTCCCTACAATCCCAAGGAAACTAGCAAACAAGCAAACATCACACTTTACTGCCGCGCCGATCGTCCGCGCAGCCCTCCCCGCCCCGGGAGGGGGAGGGGGGAGCCCCGGACCTACCGCGCCGGCTGCCAAGCTCCAGTTCGGAAGCTAAGCTTCAACCACCGCAAAAAAAACGCCGACCGGTGGGAGGGAGGGTTGCCAGGGAGCCTCCGGGGCTCATCCAGAAAATGGCGTTTCATTACATTCAACGCTGGTTTTCTGTGGGGAGCCCCTATGGCTCCCTGAAGCTTCATACCCAAAGAGAAGAAAAAGAAAGGGCTAACCCGGGAGGTGGCCGCCACAAACTCTGCAACGCAAAGCCAAGACAACCGGTCGCAAACCTGCGACCCAAGGCAACAAGAACGCCCAAGAGCAGACGCGCATAAGGATGGACGGCCAAGAACCTGTGCGACCCACAAATCCCTGCGCCCGAAATGAGCCCGAGACATCACCAACACAGCAGCAAAAGCTGCAAACGTCTGAACAGCACGGGCGCAAAGACAGACCGCAGGCTGGAAGAATGAAAACACTGCGGACGACCTGGGAGACCCGAGCCCTGAAAACAGGGAACGAAGGAACCGGATCAACCACAGCGCATCCCCAGACACGGTACGCCGGCAACCGCAAAAAGCACAACCGGACAACACAGGACGCACCCCCCGGCCAAACAATACAATACAATACAATTTTATTTAGGTAAGGTACATACATACAATAAATTTTTACAAGGATTGGTAGACTTATAGGTAGAGCTAGTACATACAATGCCTAAAGCCACTATTACGCAAAGCGTTTCGGGCATGATAAACTTAAATGACAAGCTTAATACTAATTGAGCATAATGAGTAGAATGAAAACAAGAAATGAAAACATAGATGAAAAAGCAGCACAAATACAATTATGTCGACAAACAGCGCTCTTTAAAGAAAAAAACAGACATTGGTTGACAATAGAAGGGTAAGGTAGGTTACAGGGAATTTATTATGTATAGCTTCGCTTTTAACTTAAACTGGTTGAGAGAGGTACAGTCTTTAACATGGTTGGGAAGGTCATTCCACATTCTGGGCCCCTTGATTTGTAGAGCATTTCTAGTTTGATTAAGACGTACTCTAGGAATATCAAAACTGTATTTATTTCTGGTGTGATGCTCATGGGTTCTGTTACAACCTTCTATGAAGCTTTTGAGATCAGGATTGGCATTATAGTTTAGCGTTTTATATATGTATACTACACATGAGAGAATGTGCAGTGACTTAATGTCTAACATACTCAGAGATTTGAGTAGGGGTACCGAGTGATGTCTGGGGCCAGAATTGGATATTGTCCTAATAGCAGCTTTGTGTTGAGTAATTAGAGGACGTAAGTGATTTTGGGTAGTAGAGCCCCAAGCACAAATACCATAGTTGAGATATGGATAGATAAGGGAGTAATAGAGAGTCACCAGGGCAGGGCGTGGTACATAATATCTGATCTTAGAAAGAATGCCCACAGTTTTTGAAACTTTTTTTGATATGTTTAGTATGTGTCCCTGGAAATTCAGCTTGTGGTCAAGCTGATTAAGTACCAATAATTATTAAACCAATTAAAGTACATGATTAACCTGATTAAAAACCTAAACCTGATTAAACCAATTAAGTACCAATACCCCAAGAACCCCTCCGGAAAGCAGCCGTCCCGACCGTCGCCAGGACAGAGAAAGGCTGCACACCTATAAAGCTACCACCAGTACCAAAGAGCAGGAACTGAACCGAAGGGGCTACCACAAACTGAGGGGAAGATAAGAAGGCACCCTGAACAAGGACCAGGATGGCTCAGGCGACGCATGAGCAGGCCGGAGGGGAAACAAAACACGAGAAAACGATTGAAACGTCATACTGTCGCCAAGACGAAGCTCGCAGGTGGGACACCGTCAACAAAGCCACCTGAACACCATAGAGATGGTGAAACCCGCGTCAAAATACCAGACGCGAAGAGCCAAGGAGAAGGCCGAACCAGTCACGGACAGGACCGATTCGGCCTGCTGAAAGAGGCGGAGCCTCAGGAAAAACGCCCCGGGTACGGACACCTATCAAGCAGCGTCTGAAAAGAAGGCCGGGCCGGCCACCATAGAACCATAAAGACTGTTCTCGTGGGATTGGGCTGCAACCGAGCCAGAATCCGAAGCAACAGCTGGACCGGGAGAAGAGGAACAGGTACCCCCCACCTCGACCAGTCCTGCCGAAAGCATCCACAGTGAAGTCCTCGCAGGTGGGAAAGGGCGCCACAAAATGGGCGACGCCTAGACCACGCTGACCCGAAGACGTCCATGGCCAGGAGTCCATACGCCCGACAGAG